AAATAAACCTTAGACTCAAACGTTAGAACAGGCTTTTCCCCGCAGCACGCCGTGTAATAAATATTCACAAAGAAAACGGCTGGCGTTACAACTTATGTCTAAAAATGTATAGTTTCATGCATCGGTTAAAACACTCCACTCCAGCTACATGACGCGCAGCTGGAAACACTTCCCGCAAGTCGAGCTGCCCGAGATTTACAGAATTTACAGAAAATAGTAAATAAACATTTTTGTGATTTATATCGTTATCGGACGATAGAATTCTTATATCGGGATATGAGATTTTGTTCATATCGCACAGCCCTAATTCACAACCATGACCAATTACAGTTTGCAGTCATTTAGTTTGAATCATTGCTAGAGAATGAGATCATATTCAGCAAAGCTGTAATGTTAGTCTGCTCCAGCCTGCATGTATTCTCTGCTTCATGTAATTATCTTCAGGTACGGTAACACCCAATATGTGTCAAGTTACAGTGCGGGCAGTACAAGCAGGTTGATAAAAGGTCATAGTCACTGCAAATGTAACACAAACTCAGTGGCCTTTCGACAAGAGGTCGACCACTTTCCAATTCTGGAAGTGAAATAGGTCCTTTCCAATTCATTGACTCTGATGACCAGAAGCAGAAGACTGTAGAGTTCAGAGGCAGCTGCTGATTTCAACTACAGTATTGCAGGAATGCATTCACCCTACAGAGACAAAGCCTCAGCAAACATTGTTTATGGCAGGTTATGGTAGCATACCTTCCAGGTGTTTCAGCAGGGCCCTGCAGCTGTTTCCATGAGCAGAAATGAGGACAGTCTTGCCTTTCCTTATCACTGGCACCACAGTGCTGTCCCAGTATGGCAGCAGCCTGTCCAACACCTCCTTCAGGCTCTCAGCTCGGGGAAGCTTCTCCTTCGAGACATCACATGTGGTGTATCTACGGTCATTGTAGATTTCATGGAAGTAAGGGTGGGATTCATCAATTGGGGGTGGAGTGATGTCATAGCTCCTTCTCCACAGCTTCACTTTTTCCTCTCCATGTTGCCGAGCCATTTCTGCCCGGTTGAGTCCAATCAGAGAGCCGTAGTGTCGTTCGTTAAGCCTCCAGGACTTGACAACAGGGACCCATTCCTGACCCATAGCCTCAATCACCAGCCATGCTGTCTGGATCGAGCGGCTAAGTATGGACGTGAACACGATGTCAAACTTGTATCCCTGCTCCTTCAAGAGCCTTCCACAGTCCTGGGCCTCCTTCACCCCATTCTCACTCAGCTTCTGGTCCACCCAGCTGCAGAATCGGTTCTCTTTATTCCAGGCCCCTTCTCCATGTCTCAGCAGAAACAGTTTGTACTTGGACATCCGGAGAGTTCGCTGCAGGCACCTGCACAAATTCAACAGAAATTAACAAAGAGGCAATGTAGAGAGCAAAGTAAAGATTTGACACAGATGCAAAAAGGATCTGTGTCCAGCTTGAGATGTAAATCCTAATGAATCACACGTTTGTGGAGCAGGGACCTCTTTTAGGGAGAGCCAGCAAAAGGTCACAGGTTGTTTTTAGCCGGCTGAGAGTAGTTAGCTACAGCAGGTGCACTCATTAACCCTCACTCTTTATTTGCTGAAGATAAAACAAAATTAACGATAGCTAACAAGCATATAAGCACTTTTTTGTCATGTTACTGTAAAGCTTTAAAGCTAACCTCAAAGGATGGGCGACGATACCTAAAAGAGCCCTAACCCTGCCTGTTATGGCCGCTTAAATCGACATAAAGAGAGGATTAATATATTTAAAAACAGAACTGTAAACTTTGAGGTTTCTCATCCCAAACTGATGGGAACATTGTAAAAAACGTCATCTTACCGCGTTAGAATATTATATCCGGCTAAATGTAGCTGGTACACCCGTTAATGTTGACAGCAGTACACCACAGGCCAAGCACGGTAGCGTCCCCTGGACGTTGTCGATTGACAGTCCAGCCGTCCAATAGGAACGTCGAATATCACACACAGGCGGTACTACTGCTGAACGTTATGTCTATATAAGGAGCAGCTGCAAGCGTCAGACTCGTTCACTGTGGATGGGGAAGCTGGGAGGAGGCGTTACCTGTGTCACAACCGTAGATGTGTTTCGATGTCCGTGTGAAAAAACAGACCAAATTTAAAGTTACTCAAGAGCAACGAGATTGTTCTTTGGTCTATTCGGTTCTTCAAGCTCTATTATATAAAGTAAGCTAGCCTACTAGGAAGCTGTTATGGTTCAGTCTGGATTTTGCTAAGAAGTGTAAGTTGTCCTTTGCAGGTTGCAGCCAGGGACAGATTAGGAAAAATACAGGCACTGGGTACAGATGGATAAAAGCCCCCCCTGCTCATCCTACAGGGCAGACACACCCACAATGAGGAAGTTGAAATTTGTATTTATTTTGTGCATTCACCTATACATCATATAGGTGTTTTCCATTATCTGGCATCTCTGTATGCTAGATGGGTTTTTTTTGTTTTGATTTTTGCATTTTAGTCTTTTTGTCATAATTGTGTGTTTCAGTGTTGTTTCTTCACATAGTTTTTGTTACTTTTCCTGTCATTTTGCTTCTTTTTGGTGCCTTTTTCTCATTGTCAATAATAATAATAACGTATACTTTATTGATCCCCGTGGGGAAGTTGATAAGCAAAATGCTTATCAACATTTGTATAGGCCCTTTAACACTCTCTGTCCACGTCATTAGATGTAAATGTTTGACTGCTTTTGAATGCAAATATTTAATAAACACTCAGATGGCAGCAACTCAGTATGTAGTATGTATGTATGTATGTATGAGTATGCAGACATGGTAAAGATGACCTGCTGAAGTTCAAACAAAGAGAAAGGTGACATAAATTATAATGTGGCATCCTCTGTACACCACCACAGTAGATTCTAATTTAAACAGTAAAGTTGTGATTAATGTGCAGACTTTTCACTTTGATTGATAAATCAACAAATCAATAAATAAACACACACACACACGTGTCTATATATATATATACATTACACATGCATACACATACATACACAAAGCTGTGTAAACCAACTATAAATAATCAATCTAAACTTATATACATAGAATACAGAAATGAAGTGGAATGAATACTACAGAATGTACATAAGGTGCAGTTGCAGTCTGGCAGTGGGAGCAGTGTGACAGGTCAACTGTTTAGAAGGAAGATGGCGAGGGGAAAGAAACTGTTCCTATGTGGTCCTGGTCTGCAGGCTTCTGTACCGTCTGCCAGAGGGCAGCAGATCAAAAAGTCTGTGTCCAGGGTGTGAGGGGTCTGTGATGATTTTCCCTGCCCGTTTCCTGGTTCTTGAGAGGTACAGATACTGGATGGAGGGCAGGGGGGCGCCAATGATCCTTTCTGCTGCCCGTACAGTCCACTGCAGTCTGCTCCTGTCCTGTTTAGTGGCTGCACCATACCAGACTGTGATGGAGGAGCACAGGACAGACTCAATGACTGCAGTGTAGAACTGGATCAGCAGCTCCTGTGGAAGACTGTACTTCCCCAGTTGTCTCAGGAAGTACATCCTCTGCTGGGTCTTTGAGGATGGAGTTGATGTTGGTCTCCCACTTCAGGTCCTGGGAGATGGTGGTACCCAGGAACTTGAAGATCTTCACAGTCGACACAGAGCTGTCAGATGTGGTGGTGGGTGGAGGGGGGGGTCATCTCTACAGTTTTAAGAGTGTTCAGCTCCAGATGGTGCTGACTGCACCAGAGTACCAGCCCCTCATATTCCTGCCGGTATGCAGACTCATCACCATCCTGGATGAGGCCAATGACAGTGGTGTCATCTGCAAACTTTAGGAGTTTAACAGCCGAGTTCGTGGAGGTGCAGTCATTAGTGTAGAGAGTGAACAGTAGTGGTGAGAGGACACATCCTTGAGGTGCACCAATACTGAGGGAGTTTGGAGGAGAGATGTTCAGGCGCGATGGTGTTAAAAGCCGAACTATAGTCCACAAACAGGACCCTGGCATAAGTTCCCGGGCGGTCGAGGTGTTGCAGGATGTAATGCAGCCCCATGTTTACTGCATCATCCACCAACCTGTTTGCCCGGTAGGCAAACTGCAGAGGGTCCAGCTGGTGGCCTGTAATGTCCTTCAGATGGACTAACACCAGTCGTTCAAAGGATTTCATGACCACAGACGTCAAGGCGTCAGGTCTGTAGTCATTCAGTCCTGTGATGGATCTTTAGGCACTCTATTACTTCCAGTCTGATGGAAAAACATAGAAATTGTTCCAATTTCTTTAGTTGGCCTGGCACAGGACCTGAGACATCCATCTGTACAGAGGAAGTCAGGAGCAAAGTACAACAGTGAGTGCCTACAGCCATCTGTACGGTGGACTCTGTCATTGTTTCTAGCTGCATTTCAGCCAGTGGTGTTGGGGATCTTCTCAACATTGAAGAAATAAGAAATGCAGATTTTGAACTGCCATAAATATCACCTAGAAAGCATCTCATTGAGAACAGGCTCAACATTATTGAAGCAGCATAGGATCAACATTGACAGAGAACAGATCAAAAGTCAGCCAACATCCAAAGAAGAGCTTTGAATGTCCTTCAAGCTGGGGAAGTGTTCCCAATTACTATTTAAAGAAATTAGAGGAAAAGATTTTGGCACATCATTGTATATGAATAAAAATGTATTTTTAAAGAAAAAATAAGTATTTGATGAAGTTTGGATGCGATCACGCTGACCTTGGGTTCCTTTCTATTGTTAATGACTGATGCAAATTGTTGGGTGTGATGCATGAACTTGGAGAGGAGCCTTAGAGTTTGAGAACCATTAGGCTAATACAATTTCCAGAAAACCTTGTTAAGAATTATGAGTTGCACGTGACGTCTTTTTAACACTACAATAAATACTGGACAAAGCAAATTTCTAACATATCAATTCACTATTCTGAAGTTTATGTTGATAAACACGCAGACTATACGCGTGATTCATTCTCAAACAGTACTGAAAGGAGAACAATGATTTCTGATTAATGTTAAAGAGATTTTATTATTCGATTGATTATGACAATGCTTTGCTCATTAGTTTAATTAATACCACATTCATACAAGGACTTCATGAACAGTTGACTCCAGCATTAGCTGCCCCTGGAATGTGCATTCATGGTCTTAATAAGTTCAGTATAACAAAAGAGCACAAGCTTTTTCAGACAACATGGGCAGAACATAAGCAGGACACATGAAAGATTTCTTGTCATATGCTCATCTGGTTTTCTGTAAATATAGGTGATTTTTTTAAATAAATAAATAAAGTCAAAAAGCAGGGCAATATTATTGAAGTGACACAGGCAATCAATATTGATTCAGATATAGGCTAAAAAACTAAAAAAAGCAATGTAGTGCTCTAATATGTTTAATACACATTTTTTCATTATGGGAAAAAATATATATATTAAGAGACAATTGTCCTAAAGACACTACTGATGCCTCACTACTGTCTTTATATTCACAAAATGAGCTGTGTCAGAATTATAATCATTATAAAGTTAATGCAGTTCGTTGCATCCACCTGTTTCTTAACAGACATCTTAACCCAGATATTCATTTTAAATCTATTGTCCAGCATTGAACAGCTTCTTTCTGCCCTCCATACCAGACATGGCATCCACGTTCTTACGCCAGTCAGTCACTTCCTCTTTCTGCAGGGTGATAGTACAGTTAGTGCAGTTAAATTCATACTGAGGTGGGGATACATGCTTTTTAATATCAAACACTGCAGGTATGTCTTTATTTTCATTGCACTAAACCTTAGTGCCTAGCACACTGTTGAACTTTGTAGCACTTCACATGCACTAGTTTCAAAGGCAGAATATGGGCATACTTTAATAGTGTATTTACAATGATGTTTACATTCGGGACTCCTAAAAAAAATAGTGTGAATTAACATATATATTGCTCCACTTACCTTCTCCTCCTCTTTCTTCACAGTCTTGAGGTTGGCCTTGAAGTCCACAGACTCTTTGACCTTGGAGCCCAGCAGAGCTCCCAGCATTGCATCAGCAGACACCCTCACCCTCCTCAGATTGGGTCTCTTCATCTTGCCTTTCAAGTCAAAGATCTTTTGAGACAGATCCTGTATCTTTTTTCCAACACAGATTTAAAAAACAACAACAAAAAAAACCCCATCCTCACGATTAATTTATTGAAATTTATATTGACCATATGCATCCTATAAGATTGTACTTAAAATACTTGGTTGGTTATTTGCAAATAATACTTACCTCCTTGTCATTTTTCGTCACCTTAAGAGCAATATCATAGCGCTCCTCATCAACCACGTCAATCTTCTGATGTAGCTGCTTGCAAAAATTCTGTGAATAGAAGATTTAAGTGTATTAGACCAATTTATCTAATTGGTTTTGATAATTTAATGGAAAAACTGACAAGAAATGATACAAAGTGACACTGGAACACATATATGTGCAATGCCTTGGTGATAAAATACAAAATAAATTCATCTATATAAGTTTGTTTGATCCACAGATTGATATAAAGAGTCTGTGTGAGTAGTTTTCACTGGGAATACTTTCTAATGGTCATAATGGTAAACTGTTGACATTGAGGTCTGTGGATACTTCTGCTCAAGCAAGGCATTGCTTGAATTGCTGTTGAAGTTTTAAAATGTAATTTTCCAATGCCCTCAGTACCACAAACTAAATTATAAACACAGTAACTGAATTTGTGTGCCAACAAAATTCTCGGTTATAGATATCACAAGACCTTAGAAAATAAATTATCAGTAATTCCTTGTGGCAAGGTATTACCCAAAGTAGGCGGGAAAAAATGACCAGAGTTTTTATAGTTTCCTGATTTTATGTCAATTTTTGTTATGCCACAATCCAAAAAAAGTTCCTGCTATTTGACACATGTACCTGTAAGTCCTGCAAAGACAGACCGGATATTTGGAGGTCTGGCACTCTCTCAGCAAGGATCCTCTCTCGTTCATCTTTTTTGAATTGTTTTTCGTTCTCCAGCATAGTCATGGCCTTCTTTAGCAGTTTTGTCTGGTGCACATACAGGATGACACCTCAGTCAAACACACAGTATATGGTTTACAGCGCTTCAAGAATATGAATTCCTAAGATTAATACACAGTTAGACATAAGATACCTTCAAGAACAGCCTGCGAGATGCAGAGATTTTTGGCTTTGGTTTCTGGAAAAGAAGACAATGTTCATTTTATTCATTTGGCCTTGAATGTATTGAATGAATTGTTGTTAAATGCTCAGTTTTGCATTTATTTTCATTATTTTTTAATATTTAGATTAGAGAATTCACTCATTAATGTCAGCATTTAAGACAAGGTTAAAGTGCTGAAGGCATAGCTGGTGTGTTGCCTAGTTTTAATCCAATTGATTAAGCCATCTCATTGACAACTAACATTACTAACAACTGAAATCAACTCACCGAAGGCCTGTAAAGTTTGGAGCAAGGATGCAAATAAGTGGAGAGGAGATGCTTTGGTTAGATTGGAATCTCACATAGCAAATGCTAACGTGTATTGAAACTTAAAGGTTATACGTACGCTTCAGACATGGTGTCAGTCTTGTGTTCCCCCTCGTTAAATCTGCAAATATAAGAAAAACAAAGTTAGAACAACATCTGTATTTTTTTTTCTTTCAGAAGGACACTTTTCACATTTCAGCCCATTGACTGTTGTAGCTACTGTGGGTTGGGTATACATAGAAGGCGACATAAACAGTGTATGACATTGTCAAAAGGTCAAACGTGTGACTTAAAAAAATCCTCACTCAAACAAATCCAAAAAAGGTTACAATAACCTGGCAGGTTATTTCTGAAAAAAGGAAACATACACAAAGACTAAAGAGGAGAAGATTTGTAAAAGTAAAACACATAAATCAAATGGACACTGTTGTGTGTTAGTCATAACTTCAACTCGGACATCTGTGAGAAGCCACAGATCTTAGATTTAGAAAAAAAAGTCCCCTCTTTGACTCACAAGTATATTTGTCGTTTTAATAAAAAATATGAAACCTGGTTTTAGTAAATGACAACATAATATCATAATGTAAATACTGCTTTAGAGTAAAAATTATTATATCCATTTTTAAAAATACTGATAAATTCAGAATGGCAAGAACAGTTTGAGTATATTACAACACATGTTTTTTATTTCCTTATCCCTTGATTCTCCTGTATTTCAAAATAAAATCCTTACCTTCTACAGCAGGTGACAAACACTCACAGGCGTCTTTTTCTGAGACTAGAAGGAAAGAAAGAGGGTAGATATATAGATTCCAGTGCTCATGTGAGTGGCTCACTAAAATAGATCCTCAGTCCACACCATTCTTGCACTGCGTCTCTCATATAACATGTGTAAGAGGTGTGAAAGTTCTTGTAGGGATTGTCCGTCTGTGATTTTCTTAGTGGCTACATGCTAAGGAGGGGAGTGAAGTTTGAAGGAGCTTTAGTCCACTGTTATATGTGTTTAGTGACAGTTGATCCCATTTCCAATCCAAAGTGGACATTTAGGTAAACAGTTTAAAACAAGAATGCCAGAATTTCTGTCTGGTATTGGAGCCAATAAACCAAAGACATATAACTTTACACCCCAGCAAAAACATTAACAAACAAAGAAAGGATAATTTTGCATTTGTTTTAAGATTTCTCTAATAACCAATGCATTTTGATCATCTAAGAAATAACATGATCTCTCATGGTAACAGCTAACTCACTAGCAGGTGGTAGTTTATCAGGGACAAGCAGCATTTCTCCACAATCTGCACTCTATTATGAAGCTCAGGGCATTGTGCAGATTTCAAAGAATTATGCTGCCATCACAAGGTTGCAGAGAAGAACTGCTGCAAACAGTTGCATGCATCATTAATACACAGCAGTCAATAGAAAAAAAATATGATTTAAGCATATTCGAATGAGCATTATGTTACAATAAACTACTGCCTTAAAACAACAGTCTGAACATCAAAACCTACGAGAAGTGAACTTTGGGTGAACTTTTGGCTTTCGTGTGGTTGTAACCTTGACCTCTACTATCAACTTAACATGGGGCAGCATTCTTCTACTGCAGGGCAATGCATCCCAATGCATGGCAAAAATAGCAGTAGAAACACCAAGAACCCCAGGCCCTGAGTCTGGCCTCAACATTCTTCAGATCCCAAACCAAATGAATATCTACAAGATCTGCCAGAGCACACTTCATCATCGGTGGCCCCAGCCAAACTCAAGCCAACCCACAGGATCCAAAGGAACCACTCCAAGTGCTATGGTTCCAGACATCACAGGATAGTCTAGTGGTGTTGTGTCCATGCCCTGATAGGTCAGAGCAACACAATACCAGTAAGGTGTTAATAATGATGTAGCTGATCGTTTTTCTAACTGAAGAAAAACTTTAACTAAGTTTAAAAAGTCAGCAAGTGTTGTTATTCCAGGAGTCACTTGGTTGTAAGTCTTTGTCTTTCATGCAGTTCACAAAACAAGATAATATACAGATAACAAATAGTGTAAAGAAATCCATCCATCCATTTTCCTACATTCATATTCGACCACATGTTTGCTTCTATATTTTCTAAAATCATAATACATTTAAATATCGTCTAAGTTATTAGTCTGAAATTTACTTTAAAATAATTGCTGGAAGTTAATACTTTGCTTTTGAAATTGTTTTATGTTTATGATAATTGAATTCTCTGCCTGACAGTCTTGCTCAGCAGACAGAGATTTTGCTGCAGAGTGCTAGTAAGTGGATCTGGACCTGAAAAGCTGAAGCTGCATCTTTTTGCGGAATAGCCTCTGTTCCTACGGTAACTATTATTATGGGTTGTTTAGATTCCCCAGTGGCACATTTGTTACAGTTCACTGTACTTTTCTCATGCTTTTAAACTGTCCTAGATTTGTGTTTTTAGCACACACACACACACACACACACACACACACACACACACACACACACACACACACACACTTTCATAAATACATAAATTAAAAAAAAACATACAGCAAAAATGATTTTAATTGTTACTTTAACAGATTAATTTGTGGTTAGGAAATAATATCTCTTTTACTGACATTCAACCTCACAATTGCGCAACACCCTATTTTTGACATGTATCCAATTAATTATTGTTCCAACTATAATTTAGAGTCTACAATGTCTGTGAATGTCTGTTATTTTGAGTGTCATTATATCAGAATAATAGCTGTTTGGCTCCAAACTAATAAGATGTCCATAATTTACAGCTGTGCTGTATCTTGGTTTAAACCAGCTGAATAATGCAACCTTTGAGTCACATTTAAAATTCCCATGGGTTACTGAGGAAAAGGCCACAATCTCACAGCCAAATTGTTTCCAATTAGCTCCCAGCTTTCTGTTGATCTTGCGCACCACAATTTTTAAAAGTACCGAGGCCAAAATAAATAGAGACACTGTACGGTGCTATTCCAAAGTCTGGGAGAGAATAGTTGGAACATCAAAGATATTTTATGTCACATATGAAAGCATTTGCTCAGGATTATACATTTGCAGAATTTTCTGACTCATTAGCTAACACCAGTTTCACAGAATCTGTTGTTTCATATTGTTTAACTGCAGGCTGTAAACCTGCAGTATTACAGTTTTGTTTCGGTCTCACCTCTTTCAAAGCACTATTTTTGGCTGCTTTTATTTCCCTCGGGAATAAGACCACAATGAAGACTTAAGCCAGAATTCAAGGAAGGTGAATATAGGGAATATTGCTGTATATTAAGTCATACTGGAACCTATGAAGCCAGGACCAAGTTTTTAAAAAGGGGCTTTATGCTTCTATTATATGTTGTTAAGTTGTTAGAGCCGTGCTGCCACTTGGAGGTAGCATTTATTAATTTTGCCTTAATAACAGAGTAATTTTACAGTAACCTTTAAAACATTTCAAAAAACCCTTTTCTGTCTATTCTCCTTTTTGACGTTTAATTTTTTAAATATATAAATAGAATAGAATAATAGAATAATTCTTTAATTGTCCCACAAGGGGAAATTTGGTTGTATTAGCAGCAAAAAAGCACATATACAAACAGAACAGGACACAGAACGGAAACACAATTTTTACATATTTACATCATGGACAATAGTTACCAAAGCAGAGTACTGTACAGTTATTAAAATTAGAGTACAGATAAGTGGAAAACCCAGGTTGTAGTGTGCAAACAGAGCAGGATACTGAAAGATGTTTAAATAGTTAACAATATTTAGAACAATCAGAAAAGTACAGATTGTGTATTGTACCTGTGCATTAAAAAGTAGGCATGTAACTTCCAATAAGTTAGTGTATATATAAACTGAGAAAAGTAATGTGCAAGTTATAACAGCAGAAGTTGTTACAGCACTGATGTAAACATCTATGTTTGTTGGGAGCAGTTTTGATTGTACAGTCTGACAGCTCAGGGAGGAGGAACCTGTGGAAATGCTCCTTCATGCATCTAGATTGCAGCAGTCTGTCACTGAAGGAGCTCTGCAGTTCAGCAGAGTTTTACCAGACGGATTTGGAAGAGGAACTCTGTCAGAGCAGCTTCTCTCTCCTCTTCAGCTGATCACTTTCCCCCTGCTAACAATATAATCTGAATGGGGAAAAATGCATCAAGAGTGATGCATTTCTTATTTAAAATATTAAATATAATTCTTATATATGATTCTTACACGCAACATGACTTTTCTCACATTATAGGATACTATACACATATTATATTATGTTATGTTATTTAATATTTTAAATATTGTAAACAATATTTACAAATGTGATGCTGGGATGTTTGTGATGCTGGGACGGATGCAAATATAGTAAATTCTCTGCATGTTTAGCGCAGCTGGGCTGTATGCTGAGTATTGGTGATATGATGTTTATATACCCACCCCACACATTAATTGTCCTGTTAAAGCAGATCAATGAATTTGAGCATTTTACTCAAAGCTTTTTATTATTCTGTTTCTCTGTTGTAATATAGAGGTGGATAGACATACATGGAAGACAACAGTGTTTAATTTGCTCTTAGTGGATAACATTATGGAAGGACAAGACAGTGCTCTATGTTAGTGACAGTAGTAGCAATAACTATATCCACTGCACTGGATATTGATCAGGAATCTGTCCCTACATGATGCCAGACAGTTCGCTTAGATGCACCTCAAAACTGCACGCATGAGTCAGTGAGTAAGACAGACAAGCACCAATGACTATTTGACAGGCAGTCAATCCATTTTATAGTGTTGTACTAACGACTAACTACTGAACGAGTGTCTAAAATAGAGTCCTGTCTGTGCTGCTGCTACTGTTTGTTCACCAAGAGACGAATTTACTGTTGTGCAATGCATCACTACAATTTTCGAATAGAAGACAGTTAAACTTAATTTCTTGGCTCAGAATTTTGGGTGTCCACCTGTTAGTGGATGTGACAGGAAGTATTTAAAGAAGTTATTAAACTTATGTCAGGTCAGTCACATTCACATTATACCAAAGTCAGATCAGATGCAGCTGTTAAGAAGTCAAACAGCAGGGAGAAATCAACTAAGAGTGTTGTCATGTATTTGCTCTGCAGCTTTATTTATCAAACTAACGTGTCCGTCTATAGTGCCACTATCGAAAATACTTTCCTACAGCGTAGTTTCTAGTGGGCACAGCAAATAAACATCATAATTGCTTTGTTAGGGTTTTAAAATCTCATTGCAAAAAGTCAGAAATAGTATATTTAGTGCACATCATCTGCAAGTTGTGATAGCACATTACAGGAACAGCTTGGAGTTAGAACAATGCCAAAGGTTTGTCCTGCTTTATTTAGGGGAATGGAGAAACGAGGACAGGTGCTCGTCAGGGCTAATGGTAAACTGAGCCAGTGTAGAGTTCAGTTTGCGTCAGTGTTGTAACCGGGAGTTATGTTCACTCAAAAGGCTGCAACTCACATCCTCACACAAGGATTGGTAGACAGCAAACAATTAAATAAGAATGCTGAAGTGCAAGTCTGAGATAGTTAAATGCTATATTTAGACTCTTAATATTTGTTTTGAAGTAGCATCTCACTAATTTAGTGGTACAGTAACGTTGAGAGTGGTACACTAAAGTTCAAAGTGGTCCTTAGCACAGAAAAAGCTCCAAAATCCTTCATCCTGCACTTCATATATTGGGATCAGTGGGATATTTTCCGTAAACTCTCTCTGCCTGGCCGACCAGAACAAAAACCTCTACATTTACATTTACTTCCACTTTCTAATGATGTGAATATCAGGCTAGCAGACAGTGTGCTGGTCGCATGAATTGCTGCGATCTTCACCACACTTAAAATGTTTATTTACTTTCCATAATCACAAAGTTTCCCTGTCCTCATTTTAGGTTCTCAGTGCATTAGTTGTAGAAAGTGAGAATTAAAACAACCTTTTTGTTAGATTGTTTATTGAGGTTTATAATAATAATCCTCCCACTGTCTATTTGAGTTTTTATTTAATATGTTTTATGTATCTTTGCCATCGTGCACCACCTAATTTACAATCGTACTGCATTTGCTACATTAAATTTCTGTCGAGTTAGGGAAAGTTGCAACTCTGCGTGCTTTTTCATCTTGCAAATATAAAATGTATTCCGTTATCGTCATGGTGCTGTTGCAAGAATCTTTTTTTTTTTGTAATATTTGAATGAAATCGTTAAAAATAGGAATGAAAACAGCTTTACTCCAATTTCTCACTCAGTTAACAGACTCTTTCCCCCCCAACTCTGCTGGTGCTGATGTGTGGCAATGATATGTGCTATAACAACTTCTGTGGCTTTAAAAAAAAGTACGTGAAAGATGTAAAAGAAAAAGTACAGTGGCAGTTTTCTGTATCAGAAGTTTATTGTTATTATAATTATTGTTGTTGTTATTATGATGATGATGATAGTATTTTGCAGACATTTTAAGATAAAGAATTAAAGCAAATTCAGCTGTTTTCTGACTGTGGTGAACATACAAACCAGATAAAACTTCAACAAAGTGCAATTTGTGTATTTGCAAAACATACTTTTTCACTCCAATTAATATTTTTGCATGTCTTTTAACACACTGACACTAAAACATACACTTTGTAGTTACTCGTTGTGCACCGTGACATTAAAATTTTATTTTAAGTGCTGTCCAAAATGTGAATCTATTGTCCGGCATCAAACAGCTTCTTCCTGCCCTCCATACCAGACATGGCCTCCACATTCTTACGCCAATCAGTCACCTCCTCTTTCTGTTCACAGGAAGAAAATAATTCTTAGTGAAATGTTTCCCTAAAATAACCCTGAAATCATTTGAGCAATACTATCAACTTGTTGTAACTCGAATGTAACCATTATTTCAGAATAAACACTTTAAGCCAAGGGGTCAAGTTACCTGAAGTGATCTTAACACACTGACTGTGGCACTTACCTTCTCCTCCTCTTTCTTCACTGTCTTCAGGTTTGCCTTAAAGTCCACAGACTCTTTGACCTTGGATCCCAGCAGAGCACCCAGCATGGCGTCAGCTGAGATCTTCACCCTCTTGAGAGCAGGCCGCTTCATCTTTCCTTTGAAGTCAAAGACCTTTTGAGAAAGATTTTCAATCTGCAGGAAACACATTAAAATTATAAGAATGAACTATGCTGTTGTGCAGAACCTGTTTCTAAATAATAACAACATTTGAGATATAATGACAAAAAAGGACAAGTAAAACATGTAATGTTAAGAAAGCCATTTCTGAAGGTCATAAAGAATGAAATACTTTGAAATGCAAACCTCCTTGTTGTTTTTGCCAACTTTCACTTCAGTATCATACCGTTCTTCGTCTACCACATCAATCTTTTGGTGCAGTTCTTTGCATAGAGCCTACATTAACAGAGTAATATCAAATCGTTAAACAGAAGAGCATGCACAAAAAGATTCCTGCTCATTCCAGTGTCATAAATTACCAAAAATAAGATGGAGAAAACAGCGCACCTATCGTCTAATGCATACCCATGAAAATGGTGTATATGCATGGCATCTGTACACATTAGAGAGTTACTTATGTGTGGGGCATTTCCACTGTGTTATTTCAGTGATGCTTCTGCAGTGACCTGCACATACTTGAAGGTCCTGCAGAGACAAACCAGACAGCTGAAGTGGAGGGACTCTCTCCCTCAAAGTCGTCTCTCTCTTCAGCTTCTTTTGCTCCTTTTCATCCTCCAACATCACAGTTGCTGTTTTCAGCAGCTTGGTCTAAATTGTAGAAAATGCACGTAATGACTCAAATAACTGATAATATGGACTCCTGAATGAACAGCTTTCTAGTTTTGCTATGCATATTTCATCTGTTTTAGTAAAAACAAAGAAGAAAATACCTTAAGGGCAAGTCTGTGGGATGCAGAAATCTTTGATTTTCTCTACAAATAAAAAGTAGACAAAAATACATTTTTCAAATAATAATGTTAAACAAATGTTTAATTTCTTTAGAGATGTTAAGAACTTAAAAGAACTCACAGATCTGTGGTGGGTATAATGGTGTGGAAAGGGATAAGAAATAACATAAGAGTTTGTTTCTACATGTTAAAAATATTTTTTAAATGCCTGTGGAAATAGTTAAAAAAAAAAAATCACTTACGCTTCAGCCATGGTTGACTTTTGTCTGTAAAATAATTAATACTGAAGTGAGAAAATCTATTTTTGGTAAAAAGGTTGTAAGAGTAGCATTATTAGCAGCGTATGAATGCATGATCACAGTATTGTAACTTTTTAACAAGCTTCTAGGCTATGGTTCAATTTTGTAAACTATTTTCACTATCCTGTTTTTTATACTTCTTCGCATGCTGTCACATCTTTTTACCGAGACAAGTCAAAGTAATCCAGACCTTGGACTGCTTTTTTTAAAATATAAATGTTATAAAAGTTAAAGGTTTTAAATTACCAACACTGCATGCTTGAGGGTCACAGATACTTTGAATGATATTCCTTTTTTAGTCCAGTTTGATAAAACCCAGATCAGAATAAACATATGAATATTTTAATCAGTTTAATTTAATTTTTAAAAAGATAGATCTACAAAGATGGATTTTTGTAGAAAATGTATATAGCTGCTACTCAGTATTGCAAATAAATAAAATACACATTAAAAAAATACTATATTTCTTATACATTTTTTCATGATAGCTTTGTGTGTGTCATAATCTAATAAGGCACCTGTCAGTAGTAACATCATAATAGAAAAAGAAACCCTTAACCCCCACTACCATCACTTATACACATATATTAAACATACCTTTTTTAATCTCTGCAGAACACCCAGTTGGTGTGATCAGTCTCTGTCTTTAAATGACTGCAAGAAAACTCAAGTCAAATTTAATGACTCCTATTGCCTTCTCTGAGTGGCCAACCCAAAATAGCCTCCTCCATCCTGACAGCCAGTATATTGCATATCACTACACTTCTATCCCCCAGCAGTAGAAATATGTTCAACACTGAGCCATTATCACTGATGAAACTACACTGTGCGTTTATCTTGAGCCACCTCTCATGTTTTTGCATTTTGCTTAAAGGAGCCTGATCTTTTTGTAATGTTTTCAAAAGTGGTCTTAAGCAGCAGTTCTCTGGGCTTTCTGAAGGTCTGTCTGTCAAAGTGTTTCTTTGAATATTGGCTGCTTTTTCACTCATTCTCAGTCGTGGCCATTTTCAGAAGCTGTTTGTTAATTTCTTTGATAATCATTAATGATTCAAGTATATACCAGGTAATTAACTCGAGGAATGAACCAACACTGTGTCTACAGATGACAGGCTGCTTAGCAGATGATCTGCTCACATTTCTTTAGTTGAATCTACAAAACCTACAAAAGATAACGCATTTCACAGGTGTTGTAGTATTTTTGCACCAGCAAAGTGATTCCCAAAAAGTATTAGCTGAAAACTTGTTAAATCCCAGCATGATGTGCAGTGTGCATTACAAATAAAAAGGAAATTGGACATGTAGAGAACAAAATACGGAGTGGCGGTCTTAAAAACAGTAGATGAACAGTACCTGAAAGTCGTGTCCTTATGAAATAGAAAACAATCCGACAAAGACCTGACACAGGACCAGAGAGATACGTCTGGCCCTTAAGTTGGTACATCAACTGTTCACTGAGGTCTCATGAGAAAGTGCATCAGTTGAAGGGTGGCTGTCAAAAAGCAGTTCTTAAGGAAGTGAAACAGGAAGAAAAGGCTGAGGCCAAACTGCACCAGAACTGGATTGAAAATCAACGAAAACTCTCACGAATCCACATTTGAAATTTTTGGTTCAAATTATCATCAGTATGTACAGAGGAGGTCAGGAGAGAGGTAAACCAATGAGTGTGTACAGCCATCTGTAAAATACGATGGAGGCTCTGTCATGGTTTGGGGAAGCATTTAAGGCAGTGGTGTTAGAGAGCTTTAAAAATTGATGGAGTCATGAAAACAGAAAAGTACCATCAGATTTACCTACCATGCAATACCACGTAATTCAATTCAATTCAATTTTATTTATATAGCGCCAAATCACAACAAATGTCGCCTCAAGGCGCTTCATAGATACAGAGAAAAGCCCAACAA